TATTGAAAACTGAAAAATATGAGTGCTGCCATTTGGCAGGGTTTTGACAGATTTGAAAATGGTTGACATTTTTCAATTTATCTTGGTCGACTTAGTAGGAATCGATATTTGCTTCATCAAAATCTGCGGTAATTACCCTGCTTTTGAATATTAAATTTCAATATTTGACAGCCGATACCGCTTCACCTGTCATATATACAAGGTTGCGCCCATGGTAAAAAATGTTGCTTACGGCATTTCCAATAACATAAAGTGCGTTTTTTTTTTTAAAATAATTCCCCAAGTCAAAAATCTAGTAACTATGTTGGCAACACAAGCCTTTTCTACATAAAATATTTGAAAGCGTTGACAATTTTACCTTGTATTGCCAACATAATGTCATTTTGACTTTTATCTTTAAAAAAAAACAGATTTTATTTAAATTTCATCCAAATATCACGGGTAACCAATTTCCGTTTAAATATTGCGGGGTCCTTTGATGGATTACAAGGTTTGTTTGTTTGTGTCGCACTAGCTTGAACTTGAGGTTCGGGTATTACTTTTTACCGTATTAGGGGTGACTCCATTAGCTCTGTTCACTCCACTCCAGCTCCGCGCTGAATAGCCGAACCCAGCTTATATAAAACGTTCACAAACGACTGCCCCAAGGCAAGAAGTACTGCCCCGAATAACACAAGCAAACAAACCTAAAGATTTTGATCAAAACAATAAAGTAGGTTTGGCTATTGATTTCAAATAGTGTGCCCTCATTTGGAGTCTAATCGCTCTCGGAGCACTTTCGCTTAGATCTGTGACGTCACCGCCTAGACCAGGAGCGCTCAAGCCGCAAGTTATTGGGTTTGTTCCAATTTCCAGGGAACGGCACATTTCACCGTCAGGATTCTACGCAAAACGTAAAATTTGTGCGTAGAATCCGAAATTCGTATACAGATTGTTTCCAAACCTGTTCTTGGGACAGTTTTTTTGCGAGTTGGAAAAGACCTATCAATTAACTATGAGTTCAGGTACGAGTCACGTCACAACTGTACTTTTGCACGAGTTTTTTTAGAACGGTACACTTCCTGTGACGTCACGTTACTCTGTGATCGTTTTGCTCGTTTCGTCGAGTGTAAAGCCAAACGCAGCCACAAGGGGCACCCTGCCAATCTGAATCGGTTTACTCCGAGCCATTCGAATAAAAAGAGGGATTGATTCTGCTACCTACACTGGCTTTGGGTTTGGAGTGGGTTTTTGTCAGGTAACTTTGTATTCAAATGGAGGAAAATTCCCAATTCAAAAATATGAATATCAACCACTTCGTCAAATAGAGCTTTTGGAGCAGTAGTTTAAGAAAGAACCACTTCTCCTAACGAAATTAGTCGTACTCCGTTTACTTCAAACCAATGGAGTGGAAATTAAAAATGTTTGCCTATTAACTACTTGTTGAGTTCAAGATTGGAGTGGGCTTTGTCACGTGTATTTAAGTTGCGTTCGGCTTGCACTCTCCTTGCACTCCGACTGACTCCGTTCGCACTCCAGCCATTCGAGTATTGCCTTTTAGGGCCAAATTATGGACTGACTAGTAAACGTCTGGTTGTTACCTAGCAGGTACTTTCTATGCACTAGAGAATAGAAAGTACCTGCTAGGTAACAACGAGACACTTACCAGTTGGTCCATAATTTGGCCCTTAACGAATCAGACAACGGCTGGAGTGCGAACGGAGTCACTCGGAGTGCACGGAGTGTGCAAGCCGAACCCAGCTTTGGATTTAAATGGAATGAAATTACCTCAATGAAAATTACTAATTCAAAATTGTTCATATCTGCTTGACGTCTGTTCGAGTGAATTTCATTGGATGAAAACAGTCAAATAACTGTTTGTTGGCGACTTGCACTAATCAATAGACGGGTTTGCGATTTTTGTGAGAACCAGAGTCGCTTTCCAGTGACTCACTTTAGACACTTCTGAACTGCTCTAGAGCGCTTCGGGCCGTTCGTTTTTCCTCCCCTCTGCCCTCTCAAACAACTGCAATTTATTGTTTGCATCAAAAACACGAAGCTTGAAGTAGGGTGCGTTTCAGTGAATCAACAAGGTTGCGTCTAGAAATAGCACTCTGGGTGTGAGAGTGACCCTAGAGTAACTCTAAACCGTTCATGAATTACCAAGTGCTTACTCGGAGCGTAACGCTGGAATCGTTCAGAAATCGAGAGTTGACGCGCCCAGAGTACGCCCACATTACCAGATTCAGGGACTGGGTTGAAAAACGCCCCGTGGTTTTTACCGAGTTGATGTTGACATTCACCACAACAGGCATTTACGAAAAGTAACCCGGAGTTAACTCGATCTCCCAAATTGCGTTCGAAAATGGATCAGATCAACGACTCGGGGCAAACTTTTTTAACCCTACAAAAGAGCAGGGTTCGCGAGATTTATTTACGGTTAAGGGTGAGTTTTATAAAACTGCTTTGACAGTTAACTTGAAGTTAAGTTTTTGAATTACATGTAATTCCAGAAGTTAACTTTAAGTTAACTCTCAAAGTAGTTTTATAATACCCACCCTAAGGGAGGGTATTATAAAACTACTTTGAGAGTTAACTTAAAGTTAACTTCTGGAATTACATGTAATTCAAAAAGTTAACTTTAAGTTGACTGTCAAAGCAGTTTTATAATACCCGCCCTAAATCAGCTTCTAATGGCGAAAAAGACAGTTGTTATAGTTGTATTCCTTTCAAGAGTTTGAAAAACTCGAGCTACTCGCTCCAGTGCTCAGTCGCCCCTGATTTGCAGGTAACAGATGCGTGGTGCAACAAACACTTTTCGAAAGGAATGAGCGCGTGAAACCCCTGAGCTGTTCTAGAGCTCCTCCTAAGTGTGAAAGGAATACAACTTTTGTAATCGTCTAACGCCTCAATGGTTTTATTCCTTTCACACCTAGGAGGAGCTCCGGAACAGCTCCAAGGCTTTACGCGCTTATTCCTTTCGAAAAATGTTTGTTGCACCTGAATCGCCCAAGCCCGAATCAAACCATTTAAATGCACGAAAGCCAGCGCATCTGTTCCTTTCAAATCAGGGTCGACTGATACCGGAGCGAGTAGCTCTAGTGTTTTAAACTCTTGAAAGGAATATATAGTTGCATAGTTGCATAGCACCCAGAATGCACTCCAAGTGATGACGTCTGACCACTCTGACAAACAACTACTCTACCCTCACACTCCATTTCTAAACGCACTCCAGTTGTTTGGAGCACCAGAGTGTGAAGTCACGGGAGTAGAGCACCTGAAAATTCGTCACTGGAAAGCGACTCAGGGTGATATGGGAAAATAATCTTATTCGGTTTACTCCGAACTAGTAGAGTAAAAATAGATAATGAAAATTTTGCCATCTACGCTAGGTTCGGGAATGGAGTTGATTTCATCAGGTCTATTTGGATTTAAATTGACTAAAAATCACCAATATATAAATAATGCACATATCCGCCGGCCTTTTTTCCTATTCGTAAAATAGAACTTTTTGAGTAGATTTTTTTCTGTTCTTAATACCCGAACGAAAACATATTTACTCGATTTATTCCGAATTAGTAGAGTAAAAACATATAGAACTTTGCTACCTACGCTGGATTCTGGGATTAGAGTGGATTTTGTTGCGTGTATTTGGATTTGAATGGAGTTCAATTACCAATTTGAAAATGCGCATACTCGCCTTTTTTCCATGTCGTAGAATAAAACTTTTGGATTAGTAGTTCTCTCTCATTAAAAATAGTCTGCTTACTCAGTTTGTTCCGAACCAGTGGGGTAAAAACAGATGTTAAAGATTTTGCTACATTTCTGGGTTCGGTATTTAGGTGGATTTTGTCATGTGTATTTTTGGATTCAGATGGAAAGAAATTACCAACTTTTGGAGAAATAGTTCTGTCTCAATGGAAATAATCATATTCGGTTTATTCCAAAACAGTGGAGTAAAAAAATTTGTTGAAGTTTTCGCTACTTACACTGGGTACGGGATTGGAGTGCATTTTGAATTTTGTCACATGTATTTGAATTCAAATGGAGTGAAATTACCAAACTAAAAATGCGCATTTTCGCCTTTTGTCTACTTCGTGAACTGGAACTTTTGGAGTAGTAGTTCTCTCACAATGAAAATAATCTAACTCGGTTTATTCCAAACCAGTGGAGTAAAACCAGTTGTTAAAGATTTTGCCACCTACGCTGAGTTTGGGATTGGAGTGGATTTTGTTAGGTGTATTTAGATTTAAATGGAGTGAAATTACCAATTTAAAAACACGCTGCCTTTTTTCCATGTTGTGGAATGGAACTTTCAGAGTAGAAGTTCTGTCTCAATGAAAATATTTTTACTCGGTTTATTCTGAACCAGTGGAGTAAAAACAGATAGAAGATTTTCCTCTACTGTACCTACGCTTAATTCGGAATTGGAGTAAATTTTGTTACGTGTATTCGGATTTAAATGGAATCAATCTAAAAAGGCGCACATTTGCCTTTTGTCTACCTCATAAAATGGAAATTGTAGTAGTTTTGTCCTATGAAAATAGTCATAGGGTAAGTTCGGCTTTACACTCTGTAAACTCTGAGCGCGCTCGAAAACAATAAGATCCTGTTCGTTTTAGCTCTGAGTGTTCTCTTTTGTGTTGGCTTATGACCGTCTATGGAGTCACGATATCCATACTCATACCACTCTGCTCTGTGGAGTGCAAAGCCGAACTCAGCTTATTCCGAACCAGTGGAGCAAAAACAAATTTTGTTCCTACACTGGGTTCGAAATTGGAGTGGATTTTATCACGTGTCTTTAAATTTAAATCCAGTAGTGAAATTTAATTTGAAAATGCGTATATCCGTCCTTTGTACCATTCGTAAAATGACACTTATTAGAGTAAATTCTATTCAAGTTTTCCTATACCCGAACAAAAATAATCTTACTCTGAACCACTGGGAGAGAAAACAGAACATGTCCGAACTTCACTTGGAGCACAATAATTTGACATGGCGGGAAAGTAAACGTACAAACACACCAACATAACCTCAACTTGTTAAATTATTAAACATCTTTTAATTTATAACAATTTATTATTTACTCAATAAGCGAATAAAACTAAACACCATGGCTGAAAAAGTGGAAGATTTAAATTTACCGGCAGCCACCGTGGCTAGAATCATAAAAGACTGCCTGCCCGATCACATATCAGTAGGAAAAGATGCCAAAGCTGTAATATCAAAAGCCGCAGTCGTATTTATTCTGTATCTCACCGGAGCGGCTGCAGAACAGGCCCAGCAATCAAAACGTAAAGTATTACAAGCCCAAGACATCTTAAACGCCATAGAAGATCTAGAGTTTGACGAATTTACAGCTCCTTTGTTAACTCTATTGGAAAGTAAGTAGTACATTTCTTAGCTAGTGCGGAAAGTAGTACTTTTCTGCACACTAGTGCCGAAAAGTGCTTCTAGTTACTAGTCAAATAAAGTTGCTTTGTGGTTTTTAGGATTCAAACAGGCCAAATCAAGGAAATCTGCTTCTAAAGGCAAAAAAGATGCTGCCGAGGATGAAGAAGAGGAAGAAGAAACAATGGAAGAAGATTAATTATTATTTAAACAATACAATATTTTATATTTTTATTTAATAAAAAGTATTTAATAATAAATAAGCTTGTTTAATATCGTAGTAATCAACAATAGAATATCAAAAAGGGAAGAAAAACATGTATTATAATCAAGCAATAATAATTAATGTGGCGCTATAATAGTAATTTTTCTTTCGATTTTTGTTCGGCATAAAGGACACTCTTGTACTGCCCCAGAACAGCCAGCGCAACAACAAAGATGTCCGCAAGGCACAAAAATCACTGTGCACTCCAAATCCAAGCAAATAACGCACTCAATTGAATTAATTGCTTTGATTTCTTCAGGCTGAGGAGCGGAAGCTTCGTTTTCCAAAACAGGAGCAGAAGGAGTAGTAGAAATGTGCTCTTTGGAGTAGATGCGGAGAGAATCTAGAATTTTCTGTCGGTCCAAAGGTATCCTTATGCCAGCTTCTATTAGGTGTTGTTCTGTGATGCTTTTGGCATTGGCTAAAATATTTGGAAGTCAAATTTCCATTGGAAAAATTCGAATTTTTAAATTTTCGGTTTTTCGAATTTTTGACTTCACCAATCGAAAGAGGAGGTTAAAATTAGTAGAAAAGCATTTTCGCAACTTTCCTTTTTGGGTTTTAAGGCCTTGTTAAAAAATAAAAACGATTTTTGCAACTTTTGGACTCAAAAAATTTCATTACTCTGACATTCTTTCATAAAATTGCTGATTACTCGGTTATTATTGTAACAAATACATGTAAAATTATATATTCTGAATCAGAATTAAATTATCTTCAAGATAAAATAAGACTCAATTCTATATCTTAAATACTTCTGGAGATATTGAGGTTGAAAGTTGAAACTTTATCTCAAATTTTGCAAAAGCTTTTAAGCGGATTATCTTGTAAACGAAGCCTTTGGGCTCGGAGTCTTAAATAACCTTTTTTGTAGCCCTTATTAAGAGCAACAATTAGGCAAAAGATTCATGCCAATAGCTTCAGTGGTTTCCAAAATACAAGCATTTGAAATATTTTAAAATCCAATTTCCATGCATACCCCTTTGCAAAAGTTCGAATTTTCAAATTTTCAGTTTTTCGAATTTTCGACTTCACCAATCGAAAGAAAAGGTTAAAATTAGTAGAAAAGCATTTTCGCAACTTTCCTTTTTGGGTTTTGAAACCTTGTTAAAAAATAAAAACGATTTTTGCAATTTTTGGGCTCAAAAAATTTCAATAATCTGACATTCTTTCACAAAATTGCTGATTACTCGGTTATTATTATAACAAATATGATGTAAAATTATATATTCCGAATCAGAATTAAATAATCTTCAAGATAAAATAAGATTCAATTCTATATCTTAAATATTTTTGAAGATATTGAGGCTCAAAGTTGAAACTTTACCTCAAATTTTGCAACAGCTTCCAGGCGGATTATCTTGAGAACGAAGCCCTTGCGCTCAGAGGCTTAAATAACCTTTTTTGTAGCCCTTATTAGAGCTACAATTGGGCAAAAGATTCATGCCAATAGCTTCACTGGTTTCCAAAATATGGCCCTTTGAAATATTTGGAAATCAAATTTCCATGCATGGAAAGTTCAAATTTTTAAATTTTCAGTTTTTTCGAATTTTTGACTTCCCAATCGAAAGAGGAGGTTAAAATTAGTAGAAAAGCATTTTCGCAACTTTCCTTTTTGGGTTTTAAGGCCTTGTTAAAAAATAAAAACGATTTTTGCAATTTTTGGGCTCAAAAAATGTCAATAATCTGACATTCTTTCACTAAATTGCTGATTACTCGGTTATTATTGTAACAAATACAATGTCAAATTATATATTCTGAATCAGAATTAAATTATCTTCAAGATAAAATAAGATTCATTGTATATCTTAAATACTTGTGAAGATATTGAGGCTCAAAGTTGAAACTTTACCTCAAAATTTGCAAAAGCTTCCAGGCGGATTATTTTGAAAACGAAACCCTTGAGCTCAGAGTCTTAAATAACCTTTTTTGTAGCCCTAATTAAGAGCTACAATCAGTGATGCCGTTTTTAGTATACATTTGTACTAGATTCAGTACACTCCAGTGTGATTTAGTACGTCAGTACACCATCGATAATTTTAGTACAATTTAGAGAAAATTACAAATCACAAATCCAGTGGCGCAGCCAGAAATTTTGTATGGAGGGGGCCAAGCAGAAAAAATTATACGAGTTTACACTACAGACTACCTATCCCTTAGAGGGGGTGTAATGTAAACCAAAAATCAAAATTTCTGCATAACAAATTCTAAGAATAATATTTCAAGCCGCACCATTTTATGCCTGACGGTTTTTGAGATATTTGCAAAATAACCGTGGAAGCGTGACGTCACAACCGCTCGGATACTGTAGACTCAGAGTGAAAAAATCCTGCGACTCTCACTCAAATACGGGTTGACTCAAATAGCTCAAACGAAATATGGCTTTGGTTTTGAACTAAAGATGTACAGGGTGAGTCATTATATTTTGACACCCTGCAGCCGTAATTACCTACAGGTGATAGGTAAAAAGTGTAAATACAAAAGTTGTAGCATTTTATCTGAATCGCCAGAATTTTTAATTAGATTGAACAAATTAGCAACGCAAAGTACAAAAATATGTCAATGTTCAGTTTTTTTTAATGGAATGCCCTTTATTTTCTTTCAAATTCTTAAAGTTCCCATTTTTCTGATGCAGATTATGTAATATGTGAATGTTTCTTTCAATAGTTTTGGAAATATCTGGAGTTTAGTTATTCAAAGATAGTAGTTTTTTGAATATATTTTACCTTGATTTACCTGTAAATCAAGGTAAAAATATATTCAAAAAAACTACTATCTTTGAATAACTAAACTCCAGATATTTCCAAAACTATTGAAAGAAACATTAACATATTACCTATGTATATTCTAAATCAGAAAAACGAGAACTTTAAGAATTTGAAAGAAAATAAAGTACAGGATTGAGGATAACGGCTGGATTTTTTTATGTTTTTTTCTTTAGATAGCGGGTAAAGCAGCCAAACAAGTTTATGCTTCTAAAATAATTCTTTATTACTAACCAAGCTTTCGATACTTTTTTGTATCTTCTTCAGGGCTAAAATTATATAAGTTAAAATTATAAAATTACAAAATTGTGACTTACTTGTAAGTGAATTATTTAAAATAAAAACTGCATAGATTGGTATAAAATTTGTATAACGAATATAAAGTTAGAATTGTAAAGTTTTTTTGAAAAAATTTTTTGTTGCTTAAACAAAGTCTTTTGTTATATAAATTTTGTGCTATCTATGTTTAATTTTTAGTTTTTCTTTTCTGGTTTTTTTAATAGTTAAGGTAAAGGTTATAATTACTACGGGTTTATTTTTTAAATTGTTAAAATATATGAATATATGGAACTTAAATCTTGAATATCTGTTCTTTTGTTCATTGAATTTTTTTCTTTGTTAATTTCAACCACCTCAAGGAAAAGTCTTTTGTTTAAATTTGTTTGTTGGTGTAAAATTTTAGCTTCATTGAAATTTATATTGTGTCCTGTTATATAAGAATGTTCACTAATAGCTGATGAGTCTTTTTCTAATCTGATGTAATTATAACCTTTTACCTTAACTATTAAAAAAACCAGAAATGAAAAACTAAAAATTAAACATAGATAGCACAAAATTTACCTATAACAAAAGACTTTGTTTTAACAACAAAAATTTTTTCAAAAAAATTTCACAATTCTAACTTTATAGTCGTTATACAAATTTTATACCTATCTATGCAGTTTTTATTTTATATAATTCACTTACAAGTAAGTCACAATTTTGTAATTTTATCTACAAGCGTTGGGTTATGATGTTTTTACATAACCATTTTCCTAGTATTTGAGTTATGTCATGAAACTCATTACACAACTAGTGGTGTTATGGACTAGGTTATGAATCTATAACACAACTATTTTTCAGTGATTTGACAAATGTCGAAATTAAACCTGTGAAGGTAAAATAAAGGTAGACAACTACTAATAAATGAAAATAATTGAAAAAACATTCTTATTTTTCGCTTTGTAGATAAAACGTTGTACATCATAGGTGCGTTTAAACATGACTACAAAACTCGTGTGATTATAACGACTCGGTCTACGACCTCGTCGTTCTAATCTTTCACACTCGTTATTGTAATCATGTTCATAAACGCACATGTAATGTTAATAACTATTATAATTTCAACTTATATAATTTTAGCCCTGAAGAAGATACAAAAAAGTATCGAAAGCTTGGTTAGTAATAAAGAATTATTTTAGAAGCATAAACTTGTTTGGCTGCTTTACCTGGTATATAAAGAAGAAAAAATAAAGTACATTCCATTTGAAAAAAGTGAATATTGACATATTTTTTCACTTTGTGTTGCTCATTTGTTCAATCTAATTGAAAATTCTGGCAGTTGAGATAAAATGCTACAACTTTTGTATTTACACCTTTCACCTATCATCTGTAATTATGGCTGCAGGTGGGTGTCAAAATATAATGACTTACTCTGTACATACACAAAAGCAGAATCTGTTGGGATCCACACGGGAATGTGACGTCACGTCTACGTTTTGTTGCAAATACTATAAAGACTGATATCTTTTGATAGAAATCCGGCAAAAAGGCGAAGTTTTCGATGTTGTTCTTGGAGTTTTTTTACATATTATAAAGCAGATATGTATATATTTTTAGTTTACACCACACCCCATAAGCTTTTTATGATATGAGCAGTTTACAGCTTCTGTCTACTTCATCTTCATTATTTTTCTATTTTTTTCTGAAGCTTTGGGGAGGGCCCGGGTCCCCTGGCCCCCCCCCTGACTGCGCCACTGCACAAATCACTAATAGGTCTGTTTCTGCAGAAATCACAAACCAGTCAGAGTAAATTTGATTGGTTGAAACTAGTTTTCTGACTGTGAACCAATGAAATTCGCTCTGACTGGTTTGTGATTTCTGCAGAAACAGACCTAATAGCGATTTCCATTTGCAGAATCAGAGCAAAAAAATTTACCTATCTCTTCCCTTACATTTTATATGCTTCTAGAAAAAAATGCAGAATGCGAAAACACTGATACTGTATGTATTATCGTTTAATCGAATGAACGATGTCACAACTCAGAAATTAGAACAAATAGTATGTTATTTTATCCCATTTTGACGTTTAAAAATGACATTATTGAACGCATAATGACAAAGGTAAGTAGACGTTTATCACCTGAGTGACTTAAAATATTTTTAACTCACTCTCGGTCTTTTAAGTCACTCTGCCAGTATAAAAATCTGCTACAAATACAAACAAACAACTAGTTAAACCTTAGCAACCACCAATTTCAATAATTAGCGCTTTCATAACTACTAAATGAATTCTTTTTATAATTTGATTCCTTACTTTTTAAATGTCCATCAAAATGGGATAAAATTTTGTATAAATCACGTGAGTTAAAATGTTTATTCATTCGAAGAAAATTAACCCACTCGCTAGGGCTCGTGGGTTAAACTTTATTCTCATGAATAAACATTCATTTAACTCACTTGGTGTATAAATAACTATTATTAGGAAAAATTATACTTTTTGTGGCGAGAGTACGCTCACGTCACGGACAAAAAAGTAACAAAAAAAAATGACTTCTGTGAAATCAAACTTCAACATTATAGGCTGGTTCATGCATAAATTCTTTTTCTGTTTCTTTAACTTTTTCCTTATGCATAAGCTTTTCTTTTTCCGTAAAATTTGAGGTATTTCATGCACCAAAAATTAAGAGTTTTTATCAGTCTTTAATAATGACATTGTTGACGTGTATGGGAAACTGCGAACGGTTTGTTGGGTTTTATCAGGGTGTTATAAATATTATTTCCCACGTTATTTTCAATTCAGACACGTATTTTAAGTCGTATTTGTTGTTTCCTTTAAAAAATTTCCTGTTTTTGAGGTTAAGTCGAGAAATATGGATGTTTTCATCTACTGCGCAGGCGCCATCGAATTTATCTGTAACTTTATCCGTAAAAGATAAAAGTTAACTATCTTTAATAGAGAATAAAGAAAATAATACGGAAAAGTAATGTGCATGAACACCTGCATATAAATACATGCAACTTATACATTACTTACGGATATAGATAGCGACTAAGTTACGGAAACGGAAAATATTTTCATGCATGAACCAGCCTTAAGAATTGAGTTTAAAAAAGTCATAATTTTTTGATGTTTGCGGAAAAAATAGACTTTCCGTGCGGTAAAAACAATTTTCCGCACTGATATCCGTACGGAAAATTAGTTTTCCTGCACTAGAGCGGAAAATTAGTTTTCCTGCACTAGAGCGGAAAAGTAAACTTTGATTTTTGCAGAAAAATTCATCTTTCGCACCTAGTGAAATAGCTATTTTCGTTACGTCACCCGTATAAATGCTTAGTAGAATTGTTAGATTAGATATTTAGTACATTTTTAGGTAATTTAGTACAAATCATCGCCAGACTTCAGTACAAAATTGGTTAGTCGCGCGGCAACACTGGCTACAATTGGGCAAAAGATTCATGCCAATAACTTCACTGGTTTCCAAAATATGGCCCTTTGAAATATTTGGAAATCAAATTTCCATGCATACCCCTTTGGAAAAGTTCGAATATTCAAATTTTCAGTTTTTCGAATTTTTGACTTCATCAATCGAGAGAAGAGGTTGAAATTAGTAGAACAGCATTTTCGCAACTTTCCTTTTTGGGTTTCAAAGCCTTGTTAAAAAATAAAAACGATTTTTGCAATTTTTGGGCTCAAAAAATTTCAATAATCTGATATTCTTTCACAAAATTGCTGATTACTCGGTTATTATTGTAACAAATACAATGTAAAATTATATATTCTGAATCAGAATTAAATTATCTTCAAGATAAAATAAGATTCAATTCTATATCTTAAATACTTTTGAAGATATTGAGGCTCAAAGTTGAAACTTTATCTCAAATTTTACAAAAGCTTCCAGGCGGATTATCCTGAAAACGAAGCCCTTGGGCTTGGAGTCTTAACTAACCTTTTTTGTAACACTTATTAAGAGCTACAATTGGGCAAAAGATTCATGCCAATAGTTTCAGTGGTTTCCAAAATACAAGTATTTGAAATATTTGAAAATCCAATTTCCATGCTTTTGCCCTTTGGAAAAGTTCGAATTTTTAAATTTTCAGTTTTTCGAATTTTTGACTTCATCAATCGAAAGAAGAGGTTAAAATTAGTAGAAAAGCATTTTCCGAACTTTCCTTTTTGGGTTTTAAAGCCTTGTTAAAAAATAAAAACGATTTTTGCAATTTTTGGGCTCAAAAAATTTCAATAATCTGACATTCTTTCACAAAATTGCTGATTACTTGGTTATTATTATAACAAATATGATCTAAAATTCTATATTCTGAATCAGAATTGAATTATCTTCAAGATAAAATAAGATTCAATTCCATATCTTGAATACTTCTGAAGATATTGAGGCTCAAACTTGAAACTTTATCTCAAATTTTGCAAAAGCTTTTAGGCCGATTATCTTGAAAACGAAGCCCTTCGGCTCGGAGTCTTAGAAAACCTTTTTTGTAGCCCTTATTAAGAGCTACAATTGGGCAAAAGATTCATGCCAATAGTTTCAGTGGTTTCCAAAATACAAGTATTTGAAATATTTGAAAATCCAATTTCCCTGCCCTTTGGAAAAGTTCGAATTTTTAAATTTTCAGTTTTTCGAATTTTTGACTTCATCAATCGAAAGAAGAGGTTAAAATTAGTAGAAAAGCATTTTCCGAACTTTCCTTTTTGGGTTTTAAAGCCTTGTTAAAAAATAAAAACGATTTTTGCAATTTTTGGGCTCAAAAAATTTCAATAATCTGACATTTTTTCACAAAATTGCTGATTACTCGGTTATTATTGTAACAAATACAATGTCAAATTATATATTCTGAATCAGAATTAAATTATCTTCAAGATAAAATAAGATTCAATTCTATACCTTAAATACTTGTGAAGATATTAAGGCTCAAAGTTGAAACTTTATCTCAAATTTTGCAAAAGCTTTTAAGTCTTGATGTTACTTAAATCTTGAAAACGAAGCCCTTGGGCTCGAAGTCTTGAATAACCTTTTTTGAAGCTCTTACTGAGAGCTACAATTGCCAGTGTCCCAGCTAGAACCCGAAAAATGAAAACAGAGATAAAAAGTCAAAAAAAGTTGACAGAAACTTTTTCTGATAATTTTTCTTGGAATCTGATAATTTTGTTCTCAAATCCTAATAATTTTAAATACACTGATTTATACTCACATTGACATTGGGTCAATTTGGCTAAAAACGGCAAACAATGCAATACCCCATTAGCCAGTAAAATTTCAGCTAATTTTGGATCAATATTTTTTTGGGCTCTAGACAAACCATCTGGCAACCTGAAATTTTCAATTAAAACTTACATTAAACATACAAAAAAAATATTCCTTACTTCTCAAGAAGCCTCTGATATTGCCTCAACCAAAAATCTTCCATATTATCACTATTGAATTCTTCCATAATTTGAAGCGTAGACAAAAGCTGCGCCCTTCTTTGTTTTTGCTGTTCCAATAAATCAATCAGCAAAACTGAGAGATTTATTCGTTTTTCAGACAAATCATTTAATTGCTCGTCCATTTTGAGCTTCTTCCTATCAATTTCTATATTTGTTAAGGCCAGCAATTGCATTTCCACCAGCCGTAATTGTTGCAATAAGCCCCAACTTCTAGCGTCGCCTCTTTCCAATAAAGTACCAACTGCGGCTTTTTGTAAATCTCTATCTTCTATTAGTTGGACCATTAGATTTGCCTTTTGGGTGTCTTGATCTTGTAGGATTTTGGCTAGTTTTGAATCAGATTCTAATTCTCTATATGTTAAATTAATTTAAATTAAATTATATAGATATAGATTTTTCTGCTTACTGTTCCAAAATGCTTCTAGATGTTTCAATTCTATCATTGTCAAATTTAAGGAACATTTCAGTTTCTTGTCTTAGGATGTTTTGCATTGCTTCTAGAATGTCGCTTTTATGTAATGTTTCATTATACCTATTAACAGCAGCCAACAATTTTTCTTCTTCCTCCTGTTCCTTGTCCAAAAGTTGCTGTGTAGGCTCTTTGCTTAACATTAGCAAATTATTAATGGCAAAATCTGCATTAATTTCAACTAAAAACAACCAGTTTTAGTATGGGAGTCAACATTTTTTGAAATTATTTTAAAACCTTCTTGCAATTGCTCAACAAGCCTGAATCGTTCGTTTTCCTTTTCCTGTTGCAATTGGCTCAATTTCAAGTCAAACTTTGACTGTTGGCGACTCAATGAAGCCAAAAGCTACAATAGAATTTTTGTTTTTAAGCCAATCAAAATTAGAATAATTTTAGTTACTTTTTCTCTATTAGCTTTATGCACATTAGCCAATTCAACTTCTTGCTTTTGCATTATTTCATTGGATCTTTCAATTTCTAGAAATTCTTGCACCCTTTTCAGCTACAATTAAGTCTTGTTTAATTATCACAACACAATATTTTGAACAAAGCCATAATATGGGATGAATTAAAATTAAAATGAAACTAAGCAGATTCGAGTGAGGCAAACTAAAAAAATAATAATGAACACATGCCTTTACTTGCTCTAGGTCCAGTAATTTTTCCTAAAAAGACACAAGAATCTTAAGCTAAGTGATTTGTATTGGTATTGACTTACCTGCAACCTATCAGGTTCGTCAATAGGTTCAGGTACAGGAGAATTTTCAATTTCAGCTTCATTTGGAATGTATTCGAAACCAACATCTAAACAAATAATGTATTTGCAAATTTTGTCTCATTTGGAATTTAGATGCAAATATTGGAACTTGTTAAGGATGAGAGGACAAGGTTTTGATAATTTTTTAGACTTTCAATTGGACAATTTTCAAATCTTGCATTGATTGTCTTACAATGGAGTTACAGAATTACAGATCCAGAGATAGGAACTTATTGGGTGGCTCCACATTTTGACCATTTACTTAAAAACTACTTGAGGCACAAACATGACATTTTGAGGCGATATTATTGAGACTTAGAGGCAAAACATACTAAAAATTAAAATCAATTGAATCAAAAATTGCAAAGTTACAAGATTTTTAAAAATGAACATTTTCCTCTATAAGGCTGAATATGACATGGCTCCACATTTTGACCATTTACTCAAAAACTACTCAAGACACAAGCATGACATTTTGAGGCGATATTATTGAGACTTAGAGGCAAAACATACTCAAAATTCAAATCAACTGAACCAAAAATTGCAAAGTTACAAGATTTTTAAAAATGAACATTTTCCTCTATAAGGCTGAATATGACATGGCTCCACATTTTGAACATTTACTCAAAAACTACTTGAGGTACAAATATGACATTTTGAGGCAATATTATTGAGACTTAGAGGCAAAATATACTAAAAATTCAAATCAATTGAACCAAAAATTGCAAAGTTACAAGATTTTTAAAAATGAACATTTTCCTCTATAAGGCTGAATATGACATGGCTCCACATTTTGACCATTTATTCAAAAACTACTCGAGACATAAGCATGACATTTTGAGGCGATATTATTGAGACTTAGAGGCAAAACATACTCAAAATTCAAATCAACTGAATCAAAAATTGCCAAGTAACAAGATTTTTAAAAATGAACATTTTCCTCTATAAGGCTGAATATGACATGTGCCTCCACATTTTGACCATTTACTCAAAAACTACTCAAGATACAAGCATAACATTTTTAGGCGATATTATTGAGACTTAGAGGCAAAACATACTAAAAATTCAAATCAATTGAACCAAAAATTGCAAAGTAACAAGATTTTTAAAAATGAACATTTTCCTCTATAAGGCTGAATATGACATGCCTCCACATTTTGACCATTTACTCAAAAACTACTCAAGACACAAGCATAACATTTTTAGGCGATATTATTGAGATTTAGAGGCAAAACATACTAAAAATTCAAATCAATTGAACCAAAAATTGCAAAGTAACAAGATTTTTAAAAATGAACATTTTCCTCTATATGGCTGAATATGACATGCCTCCACATTTTGACCATTTACTCAAAAACTACTCAAGACACAAGCATAACATTTTTAGGCAATATTATTGAGACTTAGAGGCAAAACATACTAAAAATTCAAATCAATTGAACCAAAAATTGCAAAGTAACAAGATTTTTAAAAATGAACATTTTCCTCTATAAGGCTGAATATGACATGTGCCTCCACATTTTGACCATTTACTCAAAAACTACTCAAGACACAAGCATAACATTTTTAGGCGATATTATTGAGACTTAGAGGCAAAACATACTAAAAATTCAAATCAATTGAACCAAAAATTGCAAAGTAACAAGATTTTTAAAAATGAACATTTTCCTCTATATGGCTGAATATGACATGCCTCCACATTTTGACCATTTACTCAAAAACTACTCAAGACACAAGCATAACATTTTTAGGCAATATTATTGAGACTTAGAGGCAAAACATACTAAAAATTCAAATCAATTGAACCAAAAATTGCAAAGTAACAAGATTTTTAAAAATGAACATTTTCCTCTATAAGGCTGAATATGACATGTGCCTCCACATTTTGACCATTTACTCAAAAACTACTCAAGACACAAGCATAACATTTTTAGGCGATATTATTGAGACTTAGAGGCAAAACATACTAAAAATTCAAATCAATTGAACCAAAAATTGCAAAGTTACAAGATTTTGAAAATGAACATTTTCCTCTATAAGGCTGAATATGACATGGCTCCACATTTTGACCATTTACTCAAAAACTATTTGAGGGACAAACATGACATTTTGAGGCGATATTATTGAGACTTAGAGGCAAAACATAATAAAAATTCAAATTAATTGAACCAAAAATTGCAAAGTTACAAGATTTTTAAAAATGAACATTTTCCTCTATCAGGCGGAATATGACATGGTTCCACATTTTGACCATTTATTCAAAAACTACTCGAGACACAAGCATGACATTTTGAGGCGATATTATTGAGACTTAGAGGCAAAACATACTCAAAATTCAAATCAACTGAATCAAAAATTGCAAAGTTACAAGATTTTTAAAAATGAACATTTTCCTCTATAAGGCTGAATATGACATGGCTCCACATTTTGACCATTTATTCAAAAACTACTCGAGACATAAGCATGACATTTTGAGGCGATATTATTGAGACTTAGAGGCAAAACATACTCAAAATTCAAATCAACTGAACCAAAAATTGCAAAGTTACAAGATTTTTAAAAATGAACATTTTCCTCTATAAGGCTGAATATGACATGGCTCCTCATATTGACCATTTACTCAAAAACTACTCGAGACACAAGCATGACATTTCGAGGCGATATTATTGAGACTTAGAGGCAAAACATACTAAAAATTCAAATCAACTGACCCAAAAATTGCAAAGTTACAAGATTTTTAAAAATGAACATTTTCCTCTATCAGGCGGAATATGACATGCGTCCACATTTTGAACATTTACTCAAAAACTACTTGAGGTACAAACATGACATTTTGAGGCAACATTATTGAGACTTAGAGGCAAAATATACTAAAAATTCAAATCAATTGAACGAAAAATTTCAAAGTTACAAGATTTTTAAAAATGAACATTTTCCTCTATCAGGCGGAATATGACATGCCTCCACATTTTGAACATTTACTCAAAAACTACTTGAGGTACAAACATGACATTTTGAGGCAACATTATTGAGACTTAGAGGCAAAATATACTAAAAATTCAAATCAATTGAACGAAAAATTTCAAAATTACAAGATTTTTAAAAATGAACATTTTCCTCTATCAGGCGGAATATGACATGGTTCCACATTTTGACCATTTATCCAAAAACTACTCGAGACACAAGCATGACATTTTGAGGCGATATTATTGAGACTTAGAGGCAAAACATACTCAAAATTCAAATCAACTGAATCAAAAATTGCAAAGTTACAAGATTTTTAAAAATGAACATTTTCCTCTATAAGGCTGAATATGACATGGCTCCACATTTTGACCATTTATTCAAAAACTACTCGAGACATAAGCATGACATTTTGAGGCGATATTATTGAGACTTAGAGGCAAAACATACTCAAAATTCAAATCAACTGAATCAAAAATTGCAAAGTTACAAGATTTTTAAAAATGAACATTTTCCTCTATAAGGCTGAATATGACATGGCTCCACATTTTGACCATTTATTCAAAAACTACTCGAGACATAAGCATGACATTTTGAGGCGATATTATTGAGACTTAGAGGCAAAACATACTCAAAATTCAAATCAACTGAACCAAAAATTGCAAAGTTACAAGATTTTTAAAAATGAACATTTTCCTCTATAAGGCTGAATATGACATGGCTCCTCATATTGACCATTTACTCAAAAACTACTCGAGACACAAGCATGACATTTCGAGGCGATATTATTGAGACTTAGAGGCAAAACATACTAAAAATTCAAATCAACTGAACCAAAAATTGCAAAGTTACAAGATTTTTAAAAATGAACATTTTCCTCTATCAGGCGGAATATGACATGCCTCCACATTTTGAACATTTACTCAAAAACTACTTGAGGTACAAACATGACATTTTGAGGCAACATTATTGAGACTTAGAGGCAAAATATACTAAAAATTCAAATCAATTGAACGAAAAATTTCAAAGTTACAAGATTTTTAAAAATGAACATTTTCCTCTATCAGGCGGAATATGACATGGTTCCACATTTTGACCATTTATTCAAAAACTACTCGAGACACAAGCATGACATTTTGAGGCGATATTATTGAGACTTAGAGGCAAAACATACTCAAAATTCAAATCAACTGAACCAAAAATTGCAAAGTTACAAGATTTTTAAAAATGAACATTTTCCTCTATAAGGCTGAATATGACATGGCTCCTCATATTGACCATTTACTCAAAAACTACTCGAGACACAAGCATGACATTTCGAGGCGATATTATTGAGACTTAGAGGCAAAACATACTAAAAATTCAAATCAACTGAACCAAAAATTGCAAAGTTACAAGATTTTTAAAAATGAACATTTTCCTCTATCAGGCGGAATATGACATGCCTCCACATTTTGAACATTTACTCAAAAACTACTTGAGGTACAAACATGACATTTTGAGGCGATATTATTGAGACTTAGAGGCAAAATATACTAGAAATTCAAATCAATTGAACCAAAAATTGCAAAGTTACAAGATTTTTAAAAATGAACATTTTCCTCTATCAGGCGGAATATGACATGGCTCCACATTTTGACCATTTATTCAAAAACTACTCGAGACACAAGCATGACATTTTGAGGCGATATTATTGAGACAGAGGCAAAACATACTCAAAATTCAAATCAACTGAACCAAAAATTGCAAAGTTACAAGATTTTTAAAAATGAACATTTTCCTCTATAAGGCTGAATATGACATGGCTCCACATTTTGACCATTTACTCAAAAACTACTTGAGGTACAAACATGAAATTTTGAGGCAATATTATTGAGACTTAGAGGCAAAATATACTAGAAATTCAAATCAATTGAACCAAAAATTGCAAAGTTACAAGATTTTTAAAAATGAACATTTTCCTCTATCAGGCGGAATATGACATGCCTCCACATTTTGAACATTTACTCAAAAACTACTTGAGGTACAAACATGACATTTTGAGGCGATATTATTGAGACTTAGAGGCAAAATATACTAGAAA